AGCACAGTCCTCCACTCCAGATGTTTTAGCAGCAGTTTTGGTCAATACTTCTCGTGCGTAACTTGTAAAGCTGGTTATAATATTATCATCCAATCTCTATGTTATTTAAGAATGGCGGTGAATTATGATTTATTATCCAAATATTCGATGATTTTTGTGAGTTGGGTTTAGGTACGATCATGAAGTGTTAGTTTTACATGATACTTGGGGGCGCTCCTCCCATCAATCCAAAGGGAAGTTCCTCCTGTAGAAGAGATACGAGCAAGGGAGAGGCTGTAAAAACCCCACTAGATGACTACCTTGACCCCTACGGCAGCCATATAGTCTCTCACTCTTTCCTACACACAAGGAACCTGTTTGTCGGTATGACCAGACGAGCGGCGTTACTCTCTTGTTTCTTCTAACTCAGACTCATCGTTTGTATCCCGGATTGTTACCTGTTGTTTACTGAATTAATTAGTCGTTTGTGTGTGTGTGTGTGTGTGTGTGTGTGTGTGTGTGTGTGTGTGTGTGTGCGTATGTGCGTGCGTGTGCGTGCGTTCCTTCACTAACTCTCGAGGGTCGGGCCGTCACACCAGTATATGCTGTCCACCCTGATTATAACTGAACAATAGTGAGGTGTTGTGGCCAGCTAGAGAGTGAGTGAGGGAGTGAGGTGTTGTGGCCAGCTGGAGGAGTGAGGTGTTGTGGCCATCTGAAGGAGTGAGGTATTGTGGCCATCTGAAGGAGTGAGGTGTTGTGGCCATCTGAAGGAGTGAGGTGTTGTGGCCATCTGAAGGAGTGAGGTGTTGTGGCCAGCTGAAGGAGTAAGGAAGGTTCTGAGTTCAAGGCCACCATAATAAACAAGATAGTAAACAGAACCAACAAAGTTATAAACAAAAACAAAAGAAATATGAAACATTCAATACACTTACCTTCGGGGAATAAATTTCACACTATATTGCTATTTACACCTCATAAAATCGATTCCAAATGCCCGCTCCGTCAAGCTAAACGCACACTCATTCTGTTTATCGAGTTGGTAATGTATCACGCTACCAGTGAGTAAAAACAAGACCAAATACAATGCTTTCTTGCACCCTAGGGAACAACATTTTTGAAGAAGCACTCTACTAATCAAGGTGAAATACTAGACCGTATACAGTACCTTTATGAGTATGTAGTGAGAACAAGGAGGTATATTCCACCCATTTGTCATTTGTAGTACAGGACCTGAAGTGTTTTCTGCCCTTGTGTGGATGCTAATTTTATCATAATGGTTAGTGTTGCCAAAATGAATTCTTGAGTTTGTACAGTCCCCTTCACTTGTGCGTTTACAGGGACTCGTCAGGTTTTGTATAGTGTAGCAGCTCTATGTTCGTTTACATTCGACAGAAGGAAACTCGCAATAGTAAATATATTATTGAATCAAAGTAAAATAATATTAAAACAAATATCTTAATTCAATGATTTGTGGAATGTTTATATGACGAGCCCCTGTAAACGCACTAGTGAAGGGGACTGTACCTAGGAATTCTTCTCCTGTATTATCTTATTTTATTTACATGGTAGTCTATATTAACACTCAATTTACTTAACATAATGTCAGTCTATTAGTATAATTTTCTTAACTCTCATGGGGTTAGCATTAGGTGCAGTATTAAAGGCGTTATTGACACTGAGGGTTTCCTTCAGTTTCACCTATACTTGTTAAAGATTGTGAAAGATCTGTCTGTCTGTCTGTCTGTCTGTCTGTCTGTCTGTCTGTCTGTCTGTCTGTCTGTCTTTCTCACGTGTTCATTTCTCTCTCATTAACATTTAACAATAGGCACCATGCGATTGCAAATGTATCTAATAAATTACACACACACACACACACACACACACACACATACACATACAGACACATGAGAGATGATAGTTTTATGTTTTTATGGCTCGTAAAATATTATCATTGTTATCATAAAATAAGAAAGAGAAAAATATCGATGTTATCATAAATTTAGATATATATTCCTGTTATCATTGCACGGGAAAGGTGATAATACCATCAATATAACGAAAACTATGAAGATAACATAAACAGATCTTGGTTATCTTGCCTTTAAATAACAGAATTTGCGACATATTTCAATTTCATCAAGAATCTTCAATAAATGTAAGAATCGCCACTGAGTAACACTGAACCAAACAGCTGAACCAAATCCTATTATCCTAGTAATAAAGGATTAAATACCCCTTATGAGGTTTAAAACAGGTTCATTAAATCTTACGTCAATCAATAGAACTAGTATTTATTGTATGTTTGTTTCTCATTATCTAAAACAACAAGTTTCTTACACAATCTTACAAGTCTTGCCTTTCCCTTGTTGAAAAATCCAATTATATTTCACAAATCTTTCGTTAATATTGCCACAAGTTTTGGGTTTATTTTACGAAGGAATATTTGCGGGTCAGGAGGGGGGTACTTCTCACTAGACCCCGCGGTTCATGTTATGTGTCAGGGGAGTGTAGTGGCTCCCTCCTCTCCTCTTCTAGCCCTTCTCCCACTCCAACTCTCCCACTCCTCCCCGTCACCGCCCCGTCACCGCCCCACTGTCACCCACTGTTTCATCTGCAGCCGAATACTGAAACGTTATATAATAAAATAAAACAGTTTTGCCTCAGTGTATAGGAGTAAATAAAGCTTTTGTCCCTGTGGTATTTAGACAAGAGGATAGTGCTCCGTCACTGTCAGCGTTCGTCAGGTGTTTACAGTTGCTGGTTCAATATTTCTCTTTCGAGCTTTAACACACACACAGTCTCCTAGAGTCCTAATGTATGATATCCGATTATATATTAAATACTTGGGAATCTGCTGGGAGCGTCCTTACAGAATCCTTCATGGGTAAGCATCCGGGTCAAGAGTCCTGGATGTCAACAAGGCAGGTTAGGTGATTATAGGTCAGTGAGAGAGACAAAGCACCCACCGTGTGTATTGGGCGGTGCCATGACCAACTCTCAAAACCGGTTCACAACAATGTCCAGATGGCACAACTCCTACAGTGGTCATTATCCTCGACCTGACTAGATAAAAACCTGACCAACAACACTGACCTGACTTAACCTATTGTGACTGACAGCAGAAGAGGATATTAACTTTCATATCCTTAGGACGAAAAACTGTTTTAGAAATGTTTAAATAAGAATACTGGTTAGGTTAGGTTTGGTTAGCTAGGCGAGAAGGAAGGGTCGTTACTTAATGCCACACCACACTCGTGTACACCATCACCCAGTCGAACCTTTATTTTTTTCTCCTTCTTCAGTGTTTAAGATTCCTGACAAGAGTTAAGTGCCGAGTCATGCCCCCACATCCTTTCACTAGCCGACGACGCTCCGCCCTTGTGGAGAGCTGTCAAGGGATTTCGTTATTTGGCTTCTCCGCCCTGAAGGAGTCCTGAAGAAGTAAGAAGGATTTACTCATATAATAGGAACTATGTAATATGGCTCCTACATATTGTAAAAAAAAAATCAAGGAAAGTAATATTAGGAGAAAACTCTAAGGACATGAAATCAAAGTGTATATCTTAGCTTCATATTGACCTAACTGTGAGAGAGTAGAATATTAACATAAGTTTGACTGGTATCTCCTTTTTCTTCGACTTTATTCAGGTGTTATTCTCGGAGCCTTTAGATAATAACTTGTTTTTTGTATGTATGTATGTATGTATGTATGTATGTATGTATGTATGTATGTATGTGTGTATGTATGTATGTATGTATGTATGTATGTATGTGTGTATGTATGTATGTATGTATCTATGTATGTATGTATGTATCACACACTATATAAGAAGTAGTATAATAAGAAAATCAATTAAACAATCTAAATAACACAATAAAATAAAGTAAAACAAAATTAAATACAAAAAAGCCGTAGAATGAAACGTATTGTGATGTCAGAATGAAAGAGAAGGCATATTGCAGTATCCTTGCATCTTGACACTTCATTAACATTCACGTACATGTGTTAGAAAAGGTTGTTTGTGTGTTCATCCTTGGAAACCTCTCCCTGGTGTTATGGTGGTGGGGAGGGTAACACACGAACGGCAGCTGTGGGGTTATGGGTCAATTAGTAACACCTGGTTCACTATCTCATACCTGCATTAACACTCGAGCAAGGAACATTGTTGGAGTTTTTTGTTGTTTAGAAATCGACTATTTTTTTTTTAATAATAATACAAACAACGAAAATAATAATAATAATGATACTACTACTACTACTACTACTACTATTACTATTACTACGACTACTAATCTTAACAACAGCAACATTAATAACAATAACAATAAAAAATACTAATACTAATCTTAATTGTCTTATGTACTATCGTTTCATTTACTTTTGTACTGGACACAGAACAAATAATGGGATGACTTAACCCATATATAAGGTAAATTCACTTACTAATCACTTAAACTGTATCACATCTCGTCAAGTAATCCTGTTTCTTAAGTGACTTGTGAATGGTTGTACTCTATGATTAAGCTGGCGTCTGTATGGCTTAGCTGGCGTCTGTATGGCTTAGCTGGCGTCTGTATGGCTTAGCTGGCGTCTGTATGGCTTAGCTGGCGTCTGTATGGCTTAGCTGGCGTCTGTATAGCTTAGCTGGCGTCGCTCTCCCTTTCCTCAGCGTCCTCCATCAGGGCCAACGAGCCAGCCTCCACATCTCGACCACCAGGCAACACCACCAGCCTCTACATCCCAAGCTGCGACCTTCACCCTACGGGATACTGGTGCCCTCTCTCTCCCCTACCAACCATCTCGTAACTTTTAGTGTTTCTGTTTGAGAGTTATCCTTCTTTCATTGAGCTCTTATATTTTGCTTGTTTATTTGTGGTCGTGATATATATTTTTTGGATGTGGTAATAGTTCGTGTATGTGTATGGTAAAGGAATGGAGTGATAAACTTGACAAGGGCGGTGGTTATGGCAGCCGTATGAAGGTAACAAGGAAAGGGGGGGGGTCATTCACAAGGTGCCACCCAGGGTAGACGGACGGGTATATAACGCCCCTTCACCTCACTCCACACCACAGTCATCCCGACATCACCACACCATACAGGTTAGTCATTTCAGTACCTGGCTACTAACACTCAGGTGGACCAGGCCACTGGAGGTTCTTCTGTGTTATAACATTCTTATATACATAACTGGTAGTATAAGGAGTTTGTATGACACCTTTATGGTCTCATACTTTTGTGAACTGCATACCATAAAACCCCAAATGGCATAACATAAATACAGTAATGGAAAGTCCTTTTCTCCACAGCATCATGGCCCGTCTTGTCCTCGCCGTCGTTCTGGCACTCGCCGCCGTCGCCACCGCCCGTATGGCCTACGTTCTTCCTGAAGCAGCGGAGACACTGTTGAGGGCTCGCAGTCTCCAGACCACCTTCACCTGCGACAACCGCGCCTATGGCTACTACGCCGACGTCGACAACAACTGTGAGATCTTCCACGTGTGTTACCCCATCGTTGACGAAACCGGAGCTCTTCTCGAGACAGCCCACTTCTCTTTCGTGTGCGGCAACCAGACCGTCTTCAACCAGGAGTCCCTCACCTGCTCCCACGCCGACGATGCCTTCCCCTGCGAGGAAGCCGCTAACCTCTTCGATATCAGCAACTCCGAGTTCGGCGTCATCCCCGAGAGGAGATAAGCGTTTCAGTTACACCTTCAACCTCCAAGAGTGTCCCTCAACCTCCAGCTAGTCCGTCACAATGGTCCTCATGGTCCACTCACCTCCTACAGCCAGGTATTACTACATACTGTAGCACCAGGCTTATGAAGTGATTGTCCAACATCACCTCTGGCAAATGTTTCCCAATATATGTTACAGTAATGTCGGTTTTCTGTCTCTTTTGGATATCTTCTGTCTGTCTCAAAGTATATTTCCATCCTTCGCCTCTCAATGATCTTTGGTAGGACATTATCTTACACTGAAGCCTTTATGGGTCAGCGTTGCCAGATGTCGCGTGTTGTTTGGATTAACAGTTGATTGTGTAAATATTTGTTTATTTCCGACCAACGACTTATTAAAAACTTTGTTTGCTCAAGTCACTTTCTACCAATAAACTTCAAGCAATTGACTTCTGTTTGTTATTGTGTGAACCACTGATCCTTATTGATGTGAGGAAGATGACCACAAGATCCAGTTGTATTATGACGGCCATAATACAACTGAAGATAGAGGGTTGCTTTTTCCTGTTAGTAAATGTATTAATTACACACGAAGAGAAATAGAAACTAAATCATTACACACAGTCTTGGGTATAAATAAATACCCATACGTATACACACACATGTACACTGGGAAAAACATAATCATACTACTACCAATGTACAGTAACGTATACAACATGAACACAGGTAGAGTGGGTAGCTGACAACACTCACCACTCTTGTGTCGTTTAAGAATGAATGATATCACATGATGCGGCGGCCGAGTGTATACAACGCTCGCCTCCTGTCTCAAGGTTCGCTGGTTTGACCCCACGGAACTCAAAGTCCAGCCAGGTTGTAAATGGTTACCTCACTTATAAGTCAAGGACCTGAAGGTGTCGAGTACAGTAACGTCAAACTGCCTCCTGAAGACCTGGTATACAATGTGCTGTGTCCACACTGACCCTAGCGGACAGTCATGCCTATGGGACACACTTTCACTTTCCATCAAGGGTCCTAAGAGCGCCTGTGTGTGTGTGTGTGTGTGTGTGTGTAATGTATTATTGTCATAGTTATACATAGAACTTATTTTCGAAAAGGTAGAAATTATTTAAATTAATGAAGTTTGAATTTACCAAGTATTCAAAAACTTTTCAACGTAATTCATCGCCACCTTTACAGAAAAAACACACACACACACACAAACCCACACGTATTGCAGTGCTAAAAGCTAAACCAATATTGATGATGCTTAACAAAGATCCATGTGAGTATTGATGACAAGAAGGGTGAAATTATCTTGGTTGGATGTGAATCATAGAAGCACTAAAACAATGAGCTTTAACATTACATCTGGGCCTTTGCTGTGGTGTTTAAGAGTGTCCATGGGTAGATAGGCAAGTAGAGACGAGATAAACTGTTTGGTATAAAGATTAGCCTTAACCACTTAAAAGACAATCAATAAATTCATTCAATATCCGGAACCCAGAACAGACCATTTATAATCCCACCTGCTAGAAAGATTCGTCCATTAAATAAACCCAGCTGATTTTTCGGGGGTGATTTGCCTAAAATGTGACTTTTTTCGCATTATCGTCCCAGTCAAGTAGTAAGAAAGCGACCTACATAGAATTTATTGTTTACTAATATATTTGGCAAACATTTCTCTTCTGGGGCCATTAAAGACAGTTTGTAGATTATTCTTATCACGGTAATGCCTGATGGGGTGACAACATTTAAGCAGCCAGTGTCTTGGTCTGTGAACCTGTGAACTATGGGACCTGTAATGTATGTAACAAACTGTGGTGTGAGCTATGGGTCATGTTATGTATGTTAATCCACCCAGACTCACCCCATAAATTTAATAGCTATGTTAATCCACCCAGACTCACCCCATAAATTTAATAGCTATGTTAATCCACCCTGACTCACCCCATAAATTTAATAGCTATGTTAATCCACCCAGACTCACCCCATAAATTTAATAGCTATGTTAATCCACCCAGACTCACCCCATAAATTTAATAGCTTGTTGTTTAAAAATGGTACATCATTACTAATATAATATAACCTAAGTCGCCTTACACACGCACACACAGAGACACACAGACACACACACAGACACACACACACACACACAGACATGTATCAACAGGGCAGGTGAGTAGTGTGGGCGTTCCTCAACTCGAGGAGGTAGGGAGGGCACACCCAGGGTCACGCTGCAGAGAATATAAGGGCTGGTCGCTCCCTCACACATACAGTCATCCCGACGTCTCCACACCAACAGGTACACTCACGAATCATGCATGGTCCTTCTTACTTGTTTTAAGATATTACATGTTGAGTGAGAAACAAGGCAGGGTTGGTGAACAGTGCTTGACCGCATGGGGTTACTAATAGTGAAGACAAAATAGCTTTTCATAAAAATAATAGGGAATTGTCCGTTCAGTGTTTATAATATTATTTCCCAGAGGTTTTCATCTTCTACAAATAATACAACTATGAAATACTAACTTTTCTCCACAGCATCATGGCCCGTCTTGTTCTCGCCGTCGTTCTGGCACTCGCCGCCGTCGCCACCGCCCGTATGGCCTACGTTCTTCCTGACGCAGCGGAGACACTGTTGAGGGCTCGCAGTCTCCAGACCACCTTCACCTGCGACAACCGCGCCTATGGCTACTACGCCGACGTCGACAACAACTGTGAGATCTTCCACGTGTGTTACCCCATCGTTGACGAAACCGGAGCTCTTCTCGAGACAGCCCACTTCTCCTTCGTGTGCGGCAACCAGACCGTCTTCAACCAGGAGTCCCTCACCTGCTCCCACGCCGACGATGCCTTCCCCTGCGAGGAAGCCGCTAACCTCTTCGATATCAGCAACTCCGAGTTCGGCGTCATCCCCGAGAGGAGATAAGCGTTTCAGTTACACCTTCAACCTCCAAGAGTGTCCCTCAACCTCCAGCTAGTCCGTCACAATGGTCCTCATGGTCCACTCACCTCCTACAGCCAGGTATTACTACATACTGTAGCACCAGGCTTATGAAGTGATTGTCCAACATCACCTCTGGCAAATGTTTCCCAATATATGTTACAGTAATGTCGGTTTTCTGTCTCTTTTGGATATCTTCTGTCTGTCTCAAAGTATATTTCCATCCTTCGCCTCTCAATGATCTTTGGTAGGACATTATCTTACACTGAAGCCTTTATGGGTCAGCGTTGCCAGATGTCGCGTGTTGTTTGGATTAACAGTTGATTGTGTAAATATTTGTTTATTTCCGACCAACGACTTATTAAAAACTTTGTTTGCTCAAGTCACTTTCTACCAATAAACTTCAAGCAATTGACTTCTGTTTGTTATTGTGTGAACCACTGATCCTTATTGATGTGAGGAAGATGACCACAAGATCCAGTTGTATTATGACGGCCATAATACAACTGAAGATAGAGGGTTGCTTTTTCCTGTTAGTAAATGTATTAATTACACACGAAGAGAAATAGAAACTAAATCATTACACACAGTCTTGGGTATAAATAAATACCCATACGTATACACACACATGTACACTGGGAAAAACATAATCATACTACTACCAATGTACAGTAACGTATACAACATGAACACAGGTAGAGTGGGTAGCTGACAACACTCACCACTCTTGTGTCGTTTAAGAATGAATGATATCACATGATGCGGCGGCCGAGTGTATACAACGCTCGCCTCCTGTCTCAAGGTTCGCTGGTTTGACCCCACGGAACTCAAAGTCCAGCCAGGTTGTAAATGGTTACCTCACTTATAAGTCAAGGACCTGAAGGTGTCGAGTACAGTAACGTCAAACTGCCTCCTGAAGACCTGGTATACAATGTGCTGTGTCCACACTGACCCCAGCGGACAGTCATGCCTATGGGACACACTTTCACTTTCCATCAAGGGTCCTAAGAGCGCCTGTGTGTGTGTGTGTGTGTGTGTGTGTGTGTGTGTGTGTGTGTAATGTATTATTGTCATAGTTATACATAGAACTTATTTTCGAAAAGGTAGAAATTATTTAAATTAATGAAGTTTTAATTTACCAAGTATTCAAAACCTTTTCAACGTAATTCATCGCCACCTTTACAGAAAAAACACACACACACACACAAACCCACACGTATTGCTGTGCTAAAAGCTAAACCAATATTGATGATGCTTAACAAAGATCCATGTGAGTATTGATGACAAGAAGGTTGAAATTATCTTGGTTGGATGTGAATCATAGAAGCACTAAAATAATGAGCTTTAACATTACATCTGGGCATTTGCTGTGGTGTTTAAGAGTGTCCATGGGTAGATAGGCAAGTAGAGACGAGATAAACTGTTTGGTATAAAGATTAGCCTTAACCACTTAAAAGACAATCAATAAATTCATTCAATATCCGGAACCCAGAACAGACCATTTATAATCCCACCTGCTAGAAAGATTCGTCCATTAAATAAACCCAGCTGATTTTTCGGGGGTGATTTGCCTAAAATGTGACTTTTTTCGCATTATCGTCCCAGTCAAGTAGTAAGAAAGCGACCTACATAGAATTTATTGTTTACTAATATATTTGGCAAACATTTCTCTTCTGGGGCCATTAAAGACAGTTTGTAGATTATTCTTATCACGGTAATGCCTGATGGGGTGACAACATTTAAGCAGCCAGTGTCTTGGTCTGTGAACCTGTGAACTATGGGACCTGTAATGTATGTAACAAACTGTGGTGTGAGCTATGGGTCATGTTATGTATGTTAATCCACCCAGACTCACCCCATAAATTTAATAGCTATGTTAATCCACCCAGACTCACCCCATAAATTTAATAGCTATGTTAATCCACCCAGACTCACCCCATAAATTTAATAGCTATGTTAATCCACCCTGACTCACCCCATAAATTTAATAGCTATGTTAATCCACCCAGACTCACCCCATAAATTTAATAGCTATGTTAATCCACCCAGACTCACCCCATAAATTTAATAGCTTGTTGTTTAAAAATGGTACATCATTACTAATATAATATAACCTAAGTCGCCTTACACACGCACACACAGAGACACACAGACACACACACAGACACACACACACACACACAGACATGTATCAACAGGGCAGGTGAGTAGTGTGGGCGTTCCTCAACTCGAGGAGGTAGGGAGGGCACACCCAGGGTCACGCTGCAGAGAATATAAGGGCTGGTCGCTCCCTCACACATACAGTCATCCCGACGTCTCCACACCAACAGGTACACTCACGAATCATGCATGGTCCTTCTTACTTGTTTTAAGATATTACATGTTGAGTGAGAAACAAGGCAGGGTTGGTGAACAGTGCTTGACCGCATGGGGTTACTAATAGTGAAGACAAAATAGCTTTTCATAAAAATAATAGGGAATTGTCCGTTCAGTGTTTATAATATTATTTCCCAGAGGTTTTCATCTTCTACAAATAATACAACTATGAAATACTAACTTTTCTCCACAGCATCATGGCCCGTCTTGTTCTCGCCGTCGTTCTGGCACTCGCCGCCGTCGCCACCGCCCGTATGGCCTACGTTCTTCCTGACGCAGCGGAGACACTGTTGAGGGCTCGCAGTCTCCAGACCACCTTCACCTGCGACAACCGCGCCTATGGCTACTACGCCGACGTCGACAACAACTGTGAGATCTTCCACGTGTGTTACCCCATCGTTGACGAAACCGGAGCTCTTCTCGAGACAGCCCACTTCTCCTTCGTGTGCGGCAACCAGACCGTCTTCAACCAGGAGTCCCTCACCTGCTCCCACGCCGACGATGCCTTCCCCTGCGAGGAAGCCGCTAACCTCTTCGATATCAGCAACTCCGAGTTCGGCGTCATCTCCGAGAGGAGATAAGCGTTTCAGTTACACCTTCAACCTCCAAGAGTGTCCCTCAACCTCCAGCTAGTCCGTCACAATGGTCCTCATGGTCCACTCACCTCCTACAGCCAGGTATTACTACATACTGTAGCACCAGGCTTATGAAGTGATTGTCCAACATCACTTCTGGCAAATGTTTCCCAATATATGTTACAGTAATGTCGGTTTTCTGTCTCTTTTGGATATCTTCTGTCTGTCTCAAAGTATATTTCCATCCTTCGCCTCTCAATGATCTTTGGTAGGACATTATCTTACACTGAAGCCTTTATGGGTCAGCGTTGCCAGATGTCGCGTGTTGTTTGGATTAACAGTTGATTGTGTAAATATCTGTTTATTTCCGACCAACGACATATTAAAAACTTTGTTTGCTCAAGTCACTTTCTACCAATAAACTTCAAGCAATTGACTTCTGTTTGTTATTGTGTGAACCACTGATCCTTATTGACTTTAAGAAAGATTTCTTTGTAAGCCACTTTGATATGTAAATCCGACTGAATGATATGTAGTGTAATGGATGCTACTAAGGTTCAGCTGTTGGGTTTATTTACCTGTATAAGAACTCCATGGTAGCAGTACATACACAAAAAACATGTCGCCACAAGGACAACAAAAACAACCCTAGGCTTTGTTTTATTTCACACAAAGCTTGTTCATTCGTCTTATTTTAAGCAACTGGGGATTGCCCGGCCAAATATGTGGTCGTAGTAGCATTTTACCGAATCCAGCTAGGAAACACGAGGCTACATGGTAGTATATCTCAGCAGTCCATACACACGCGGACAGTGATTCACTGATGGACGGAGTTATGTTGTTGATTTATTTACTACATGTGTTAAAGTTATAAAATGAGCGCAATAACAAATTTATTTATCATTGAACTAATGGGATAATGAATGACCATGGGTAAAGCGAAGCCTTGGTATTGATTTTATTCAGGAAATGAATTAAGTGAATATTAAGGTACTTTGTGATTAGTTACTTCTTTCCATGCAGGAAAAAGGTGACGTCCGCTTTTGATGATGAAAAGTAAGATGAGCTGGGTGCTGGCTGCGCGTGAGTTGATTTATGTGGTGAGGCAGGAGCGCAGGCTGCAACCACACATCTTGGCTCTCCCTTTTCCTGATCCAGAGGTGCTGGTAGCTGCAACGACTGGGGAGAGGGAGAGTTGCAATGGACTGCCGATAGCCCAGTTTGTTGGGTTTTGCTTTTGTAGCCTGTCCATCAGGCATTGCCCTCGTCCGCCGGTGTAGTCGTTGGGTTCCCATGGTGGTCACCTCTTCCGCCTATGCCACCGTTGTGGTCTTGATGGAGCTCTGTAAGCATGTCTGCCCGGTGCGGGGCTCCACCGCAGATTTTTTGTTCGGGTTTACTCCCGTAGCCTTATACCTAGCAAGGTTAATCCGCAAAGCAGCGGGGCAGTGGTTGGTAGGCGCCAGGATGTGTCCACATGCCAGTGGGCCTGTGTGCCGTCCCTCTGGGGCCCACTGCTGCTCCGAGATCCCACGCTGGTCTAGCCTGGGCCCACGAAGCACCCATTAAACACACACACACACACACTATCGCTAGTAAGTGTATTGTTTACCTTTTCTTTGTCTGGTAATCAGTTGTAAACTAATTTATATGGGATTTTTAGGTAAATTTGTCCTGGATAAAGAATTAGGTCATGTACAGTACTGTCTACGGATAGCCCAGTTAATATATATATATATATATATATATATATATATATATATATATATATATATATATATATATATATATATATATATATATATATATATATATATATATATATATATATATATATATATATATTAATTTATCTCTATGCTTTTATATTTACTTAATTGTTTATACATTTAGACACATGAGTAACTTAAGTATGAAATTCAACGTTATAATTAAACAGTTTTATATGGTAGCATCTGGTCCGGGGTACATAGTCAACATTCTCAGCCTTTGTGTTCGTGGTACTATCGGAACAAGGACTTGAACAAACTATTGCAGTGTGTCGTGGAAATGTTCCTTCATCACCGCACCATCAGTGATATCAATCTTGGTGTGCTTTTGTTTGTCTACCTGTACCTGTGTTTGTACCTGTATCTGTGTTGTTCTTATTAAAAACAAACAGGTGGAGTAAAGCATGAATAAAAGTGTGTGTGTGTGTGTGTGTGTGTGAATTTAATATCCCCAGACAACGGATCGAATAAATCTGATAAAACTAAAATAATTAATTGAGTGTTAGAATAATATATATAATCGTGTGTAAGAAATAAGTCTGAGGTCAAGGTCAGAGAGAGAGAGAGAGAGAGAGACCCCAGAGGGACGTTCCCCCACCCCCCTAACCCCCCTTAGTACTGGGACTCCATATCTCATAAACCAAATCTTTACTTGGTACACCATGGGCCAAAATATCCAATAATGAAAGTCGTATATTACCTTGTGAATGTGTACAGGACCTCTTTTGTCTAAGTTGTTTTACAGGTAATGGCTTGAAATTCATTCGTAGGTGTGTTACTATGAGGAAATCTTTTTATGTAATGGTGATAATTATTGAGCAGCAGGATAGGTGAAGAGGGTAGATGTTCCTCAAGTCAGAAGGGCAAGGAGAGGCGGCCAGGGTCACCTTATACAGTATTTAAGGAGAGGAAGTTTCGTTTACTCCCACATTCATCTCGAAGACTCCTCACCAGCAGGTACGCTCACGATCCCACTCCCTGCCAGGGGTGTCTAATGCATCATTCAACTTCCGCAGATAAATTCCTGTGATATGAAATATATATTTGAATTATATTGTCAAATCAGGTGACTGCAGTAACTTTAATTTCACCCAGGACAATTTTTTTTTTTAACTTGGATATTACAGACAAGGTTTGTACTGTACACCAAGAGGGTAGAACATTAACAGAGAAATTAATCAGATTCTCTTTAATCCACAGCATCATGGCCCATCTTGTTCTCGCCGTCGTTCTGGCACTCGCCGCCGTCGCCACCGCCCGTATGGCCTACGTTCTTCCTGACGCAGCGGAGACACTGTTGAGGGCTCGCAGTCTCCAGACCACCTTCACCTGCGACAACCGCGCCTATGGCTACTACGCCGACGTCGACAACAACTGTGAGATCTTCCACGTGTGTTACCCCATCGTTGACGAAACCGGAGCTCTTCTCGAGACAGCCCACTTCTCCTTCGTGTGCGGCAACCAGACCGTCTTCAACCAGGAGTCCCTCACCTGCTCCCACGCCGACGATGCCTTCCCCTGCGAGGAAGCCGCTAACCTCTTCGATATCAGCAACTCCGAGTTCGGCGTCATCCCCGAGAGGAGATAAGCGTTTCAGTTACACCTCACAGTCCTCCCAACCTCCCTACCAGACCTCGACAACCTATAAGACGTCCAACTCTTATTCCGAATTTCCTGGTGACACATCGTACTCTCTCTTCCCATTACACTTCTCTCGCGTCCTGAAGCAATGACCCGATGCTCTCAGTGAGTCATGTGTGTCTGGCAGGGTGAGAGAGGGACACATTGTCTAGATGATGATTGTTGATGTCTCCTACACAAACCAACGAAATTGCTCAAATGTTTCTTCTATTAATAAATCTTAGTCAATGATGATGCAGTTTTATATTATTATCACATTTCATGAACTAATATACATAGAGGGAAAGTGTATTGTGTGTGTGTGGGTGTGTGTGTGTGTGTGTGTGTGGGTGTGTGTGTGTGTGTGTGTGGGTGTGTGTGTGTGTGTGTGTGTGTGTGTGTGTGGTGGGTGTGTGTGTGTGTGTGTGTGGGTGTGTGTGTGGGTGTGTGTGTGTGTGTGGGTGGGTGTGTGGGTAAACCTTCCTTACTCTCCCTACACAAGATACACAATTAATCTTTCTGTACCTATAATCAGATCATAGACCATAACTCTTTATATAACACTATAGTGACACTAAAAAAAAAACTACAAAAAACCCACATTTGACATAATCTTCGCATACAAATAACAATTATCCACTTGTTATGTCATTTTATTACCGTGAAATATAGTTACAGTGAGACAATTTTATCTATTTGAACTTTACCTGAAAGATTATTATTATTGGAACTTTTTATATCCATCAAAATAATAGTCGAATTAGCATAACAAAAACAAGAGTAAAATAATCAATGTCTTAATACATTTTAGCTTTATAATCGTCTTATTTAACCCGTATGTAAAATTATATCTGTGAGCAGTTTTCTTAGTGTACAAACCCGCCAGTTATAGAGAATAGAGACCCATAATCACACAAAGGTATTATATATTTTAGGTTTAAGCCCAAGGTTATGAGTATTAGTTGTTGTTGTTGTTGTTATAATGTTATCACTGTGCTTCAGTAACTAAGGTCTTGAAGCATTTAGTTGTTGAAGCGCAGTAATACGCCATAATCTACCTTTCTCTACATTAATCTTCTTTGCTTAATTTTTTTTGTTTTTTAACGTAGACTTAATGATTGTTTAGTTTTTTCGGTGTTATAATCTATTTTAATGAGGATTATTTCATCAAAACATATTATCCATTGAATGTTGTAGGGTCGAGTTGCCTGGTTTACAGTTAATAATGATATATGAAAAGTGAAGTGTAGTACAGCAATGTATTATAATACGCCTCACCACCGTTAAGTGTTGTGTACAGTTCACTCTGGGTTGATTATCACTTTTACGAGGGGATATTTTTACTATTTTTGGTGTAACAATATATTCTGGTATTTAGTTTACGAGGTTTATTTTACGACTTATTCATATAAAATAGCTCAATAATGTGAACTGTTCCCAGAATAACTCGGGGAGAGTGACTGTACTCCTCGAAACGTTGGGAACTAAATATTAATAAATAAATAACAATACAATAATGGGAATAGCCTAACCAGGCATAGATCGTCGAACCCACAACAGGGCCCGGGGGGGGGGATAAGTAAAAATGAGAGAAAAAGATGATGTCAATCCACACCAGGAAGATGCCGGAAAACCAGCTTTTTGAGGTGAGACAGATTGTATGAGTATGGAAACACAGAAGGCAGAGCGTTCCACAGTTTGGCTGTGTGAGGAAAGAAGGATGTACTATAACGGGTTATTCTAGTGCAGTGGTTCCCAAACTTTTTCTGATCATTACCCACTTTTCATATATGATCCTTATCCATGGCCCCCCTCTCCCAATCCATATCTCTGGCTGGCTCAGCTGCTGACTGGCTGTTCTAGTGTGGTGAGGCTTGGGATTTTTATGTGTACATAGCCTCAGCTTATGGCCCCCTAAATTTTGCTGTATGGCCCCCCAGGGGGCCATGGCCCCCAGTTTGGGAACCACTGTAATCTAGTGTGACCGACCTCCACAGATAAACGGTGGGCACCGTGGGCAAGACGAGTGTTACGAGTCCACGGCCTTGCCAGCGGTTCACAGGATGTCAAATCCACTGAACATTGCCCGTTAAAGTACAGTACCTGTAAAAGAGAGAGAGAGTGAAGCAACACTGTGGGGAAGAGAAAGGGTAGTAATGGACTCCTTGAAGTTTGATAACATTTTGGGGATTCATCTATGGTTGTTGTCGTACTCTGATGGGGGTGTTTGTAGGAGTTCTGCTCAAATCACTCCTTATGTTTTCAGTTTCCTCTGGCTCAAGTGTGTAGCTGCTGGTTGATGGGTCATATGGACAGTACAGTAGAGGCTTTTTGGCGTCCATCAGAGATAGTCAATATTTACTGCCCTTTGGAATATAAGTATAAACTGCAGCTGCGTTCTCCCGCTTGTAAAGTGAGTCTTGATTTAGTATCTGCTTGTCCGTCAACGAGCATTGGTCATCTCAGTCATGACTCACAGTGCTCAGACGTCCATATAATGTTCCTGTGTAAGTGCTGTAGATAGATAGATAGATATTTAGTAAAATCGCTATACAAGTTCATGAACCTAAACAGCCCAGGAATACAACTAGCATCATAGACCAGGTATTAAAGCAATCTATATACAATGCAGGTATACAATGTACACAGACAGAGCAGGAATACTATGTACACAGACAGTCCAGGTATACAATGTGCACAAACAGTACAGGAATACAATGTACACACAGTCCAGGTATACAATGTACACAGACAGTCCAAGTATACATTGTACACAGACAGTGCAGGTATACAATATACTGTACACAGGCAGTGTTTGGATACAAATAAGGGTTAAAAATAAGTAAACTCGACCTAGGATAACCCAACAATGGAAACTGGAAGTATCTTACCTTTAGCATTACTATGATACACATTAGTTTACCCTTTAAAATTTTACTATCAAAGAAAACTGTATATTCATATTTAAGGGGTGACCAAATAATTGACTATGAGACTCGCAATGACTCAAGAAAACCTGATGACAAATTCTTAGTATCCTTTTGTCTTTGTCATAACATTCTAAGCCTGAATAACTCATAGACTCTACTTAATAGGGATTCGTCATCTCAACTCCTCTCTCAATGGTCAACAGAACATTATAATTTCGCTATGAACTATAAAAAAAATAACGGAAGAAAAACTGATAGCAATATTATTTTCAGATTTTTATTGTTATTGTAGTTATTGTTGTTGTTATTGTGTAAATATGAAGGTTGTGGTATATGAAGAATCCTTTACTGTACTGTATATGCATATAGAAGTCAACCAGCTTTAACACCTTTTAGTACATTAATCTTTGGCTTAAAGAACATACAATAGAAACTTCTCTCGTCTTAATCTACGCTGCTGAAAATCACGATACTACTACTAGGCAGACCTCGAGAAGCTATACCGTGGTGCCGAAACGCTCACCAACGGACGAAATTTTACAGTTAAGAGTCAGGTCGTGCGGCAAATGCTTCGTCGTCCACCTCCTCGTCTTCCTATGGCTCCCCCCGTCACCTTCTTGCCATGACCTTCTCACTCTCGCTCCACGTTTTTCTGTGTTCGTGTTTGTACGCCTCTGGGGATTTTTATTGTGTCTTCCTCAACGCTATCGTCCTTGGTATTGTTTGAGTGGGAGGTTAATCAGACGCTGGTAAACTAAGAGAAGAGAATGTATATATCTATCAATAATCATCTAATACATAATGAGCTCAGTTAATGGGAACAATTTCTTGGAGTTTATACATAAAACCGAGGGACATTATTATTCCTGGGCTGCAAGATACGAGCAACAAGCCAGGAAGCGATGTGAAGATGGGTCGCAGCTCACACTATTATCTGAAAGGTGAGGTATGTCCGCTGCTGGCTAACGTGTTCCTCTCCCAAGGTCTTCTCCTGCATACTGCCCCTAAACAGCACCGGGTCTATAAGCTTTGATCTCTATACACACGGAGAACTGCCCATAGAGACCTTGAGGAGACCAACATAGTGTTCTCCTCTTTCACGGCAGTACATTAGTATAAACAAAAGTCTGAACACAAATGCGTGGTCTTACTTTTATTTTGTCTCTGGATTGATAAAGGAGAATTAAGCAAGAATGGTATTGAACATGAGGAGGAAGATTCATACATCAAATGCCAAGGAAACGAGAAATAAAGAGACATATTACAATCGATCCTGACGATATTCCTCAGGTTATGATGAATTTTCTTTAGCTGTAATTTATTATAAAACCCGAAACTGTCTTTGACAAATGATCACTACAGAGTCTCACAGCTGCCAATACCTGGTTCTAGTTTTTCTTATCTCTTGAAATTAATTAAGGAATTATGATTAAACAATAATATTTGGACACGGTATAATAAGTTATTTTAGTAATGATGGTCGACTCACCGGAAGAAAGTCGTTTATATATACCTTTCTTCATAAACAAGTTGTGTATACGAGAAATTTTAAAAACAATCAAGATTAACCAAACCTGTTAACGCACATCCGCATCAGCAACAGCAAACAACACAAGACTCAGGCCAGCACCCAAGGGAACCCCGCCACTTGGGGCAGTGTGAGCACCTCAGCAAACTATTTCACTTTCGCCTTCACCCGAGCACCGCGGGCAGCAGCGTGACCTTGGCTTGGGGGGGCCTGGGGCACTCAACTATTTTTTTTTTTTGTTCTCCACACACACACACACACACACACACACACACACACAAACAAACAAACACACACACGAAACATCATTTATACTTCAGACTCAACTTCCAACAGCGGGTGGCGTGCCGACGTGGATATGGCAGCGTAACCCTGAGTTTTACCGTAAGTACAGTTCCGCTCAGAAGTTCGTGTTACACTGGTGGTGAAGGGTGCATAGCCTGTTGTACCCTTCCTGGACGACAGGTCACTACACCCTCCCACCAACACACACAGCTCCTCCTTCTGTTGATGGTTGGTTACCAAACGCCACAGAGCCTGTTACTGAAGAAGTGTAATGAATAACCATGTTTTCATTTAGTTTTGCACAATATCTCTCCCTCATGTAGCACATAATTTTCAATTCCTTTATACATTTTGCATTCAGAGTTGTATCAATTACAAAATTAATTTTCTTCACAGATATCCACCGTGGATAAACCTGTTTTGCCCACACACTTCCACCCCTTGACCTCTAGTTGCCCATCTGCTGCCCCCTCGCCGCCACCTACCGCCCATACACAAGGTCATACTGCCGC